GCAAGGGCAAATAGGTTTCTCTTAAGGGGCGACGCAGATTGAATAAGAGCAAGAGACAAAAGTAAGATTAAGAGCGAGACCAAGGGACTCAGCCAGAGAAGACTGAGTGAGCCCCGAATCGGGTCAGCGCATGGCTTTTATTGAGTAGTTTGTAAAGAAGTGAAACTGCTGTCAATCAACTTGCAACCGTGTGATTTGTGTGCCTTAAGACCTTTTCCATTAACATTCCCATTGTGTTCCCGCAAATCCTATGCCTTCACACTTCCGCCACATAGCCCCAAGACACATTGTTACTGTGTCTTCCCAGGGGAGATAACTATTATCATTCCAATAGGTCCCAGTCACCTGAGACACTCGGAGAGAGCTTTACAGACATCATTCCATCCTGGCCTCAGTTTTCCGAGACACTCTCTCGACTAATGGGTCAGAGGCTAATGCAGGGGGGGTGGTATTGGAATCGGCTGTAATGCAACAATCACTGCCATCCCCCTGACTGCCTGCTCGTGCAGAACCCCCAGGTTAGCCAGAGGTGAGGCAGTGTCTTCTTGGGTCTTTCCTGGGCGTGTGCACACCTGTGCACATAGGAGTGACCTTCTAGTTTCCCAGGAGTATGTCGGAGCTTCTCAGAGTTCCTTGTGAACATCTTATTTTCTCGTTTTTTCTTGTAAGCTTTTTGGTCCATTTATTTGTCCCAGTTGTTGTTGCCATCTCAGGCAGAAGCCATGTCAACCAGTTGTCCCTGATTCCTTTCGATCATGGCTTCAGGGTAAAGAGTCTTGCAGTGAGCATGCTCTGAATCAGGTCAAATAAAGAGAAACCCTGTGAATGGGGGTTTCAGGATATGCCAGTCAGGTCAAATAATGACAATTCTCTGGGAACGGGGATTTCTTACTGAGCTGCAAACATGTTTAACGCTTTCCAGCAGCTGTGAGGCTGCTTGTTTTCAGACTACTGTAAATTGTGAGGCTGTTAGTTCTCAGCTGGTACATTTGGAGCTGGAAATAGGGCATTGAAAAATTTGCTTTTCTTACCAAGATTTAGCTGTTTTTCTTGAAGAATGCTCCTTGGGTTGTTGTAAGCCTTTGTTTAAATTTCCAGAGTTTTGAAAAACCTGATTTTGCCCATGTTTTCTTTGCGTCTTTGGAGGAGCAGATGTTCAGAGTTCCTTATTCTGCCACTTTTGGAGGGCTCCTCCCCTGTTTGCTTTTATCATTTGCAGTAGTCTCTCTTGGAAGTATTGGTGACATATTTAAAAATTACATTTCATAGCCTGTTCTTTCCGCTAAGGTGGTTTCTATTTTTCATGTTAGGAGTTTTGCTCATGTATCTTACTAATATGAGGTTGCATGCTCATATTAAAGAGTAGTGGACTTAAAAAGCCAATGAGAAGTTCTGAGTGTATAGGTGGAGCTTTTTGACTGAGATTACTAGCATTTGCTTTAGGAAATTATTTTAAATATGAGTTGTGATAAAAAAATATAGTGAATGTTTAAATTAAAAAAATGTGTTAAAGACACATTGCCATTAACCCCTCTCAAAATACTTCCCCTCGTTTTAAACACACATATCCCATCATTCTTGTCACTTTCTGAAGCAGTTCTGGAAGTCCTGTTTCGTGAGTGTCTTTAGTTGCACTGTCATGGCTGCCTTGATGTCCTGAATCAATTCAAAACATTTCTCTTTCATGGTCATTTTGACTTTGGGGAAGAGCCAGAAGTCGCATGGTGCCAGATCCGGTGAATAAGGTGGATGAGGACACACCGTAATGTTTTTGTTTTTTTTACAGAAATTGCCATACCAGAAGCCATGTGTGATACGGAGCGTTGTCATGGTGGGGGATGAAACCGTTGGCCCATTTCATGTTAATGCGCTGTTCATGATCCATGATTTACAACACACTTTAAAACATATATTCTCTCAACCGTAGCTCACACCGACTGATTGCACCGAACAAGTTGAAACTTGTCGCACACTGTTACTGAGGTTCGATGCACCACCTTCCATATTGAAGATACCAGCCTTTCGGTTGGATGGCACTCAGCAGCAGCATTTATCATACCTTGTATATATTGGGTCATCGGGAAAGTCATGACGTATTTTTCTATGTTTTTCAATATAAAAATACATCATGACTTTCCCAACGACCCAATATTATAAAATATTCTAGGAAAGAATAATTAGATTGAAATTTTAATAATAAAATAAATGACAATTGGGTTGAAAAATTGAATATAAAATTCAGAAAAACCAGGGGGGGAAATGGTATTGGTTTTTGTCAAACTAGTAAAGAAATTTATTTCAAATTCGAGATCTAAAGATTTAAAATTAAAAAATTAAAAAATAAATTGGTGACTTCAGAGGCTAATCATTAGTCATGTACTCACTGTTATTGAACGTATAAACTCATCCTGTTAGACTTGTGTAAATTGATAGGTCCCAAGAGAGGCATTTTGTATTGCTGGGCTCAGAACTATCCAAAACCATTCATTCCTAATGAATGTTTGTTGGTGTTAGACTGTCAGGTTACTACTGATCTCTTGAGGTGGTAACCTTGTTAAGATCCATTGTTATGGGCATTATTGATTAGAGAATGAGGCAGCTCACAAGACAGGAGTGTGAAAGTAGAGGGAAAGGTACGCCTGCCTGAGGGATTCTGAATTAGGTGCAGGTGCCAGTAATAGTAATCTTTGTAGCATTTCTCATACCTAGCTGTTTGGGCCTGCCAGTTTGTGAATAAATGTGGCCACAGTGAGTAGACATTACCATGGATAGGGAACTACAGTCACCACAGTTGCCATTGATAATGGTGAATACTCTTCGAGGAATGGAGGAAATGATTGCCCCCTCCCAATATTTCAGGAACAACCAGACTAGAGGTATACCTTGTCCCTAACTTGCAAATTTGCGGGGACACTCATGTCAGAGGGTATAGTTGTGACACAATAAAGTGGTAACTTAGGGCACGCCCTAACAACCTGTGTAGTGATACTATTTATGGGCTTATTAAGCCATTGGAGATCTTGTTGCTTATAAAAGGGAAGGTGATGGAAACATCATAAGAAATTGATTTCAAGGCCTCTTTCCAGATGTTTAGTAACCACTGGATTTGAAAGTGAGTGGTAGTTTTACTTATATCTGGTCCTGAGATAACAGATTTTTTATTTAATGCCAGCTTTGATTAATTGGTAGTGGCTACCTCGAGCAGCTTTGAGAAGGATTCTGAGGCTACCTCTGGACTTAGATGGAAGGATGGGTTGAAAGATATTGATGTCTGCTGTGGAATGGGAAGGGGCAGACGCAGTGTATCAGGCTAGTTCATCCCTTTCATTTTATCTCTGTTTGCTGATGTGTGTTTCTGGCTCCTCTGTTACTTCAAATGTAACATTCTAAGAATAGAATGAAGTAGAAATAGAAGCTCTAGACAGTGGGAACTTTTACACATTCAGCATCTAGCTAGCTCAGTGCTAGTTTCAGTGAATGAACTGAGACCAGATGTGTGAACTACCTAGTTTTTCCTAACAGGGGGCAGGGGACAGAATTAGGTGCCAGTGCTTTCCCACAGCAGTGTAACTCTCCACATGACACAGTGCTAGGCGTGTGCAGAATACTAAAAGAATACAGTTCTCATCCATACCCGCAAGGAGCTTCCATTCTGGTTGGGAAGAAAAGACTAACATTGTTGAAATGATTAGTTTGTATGACCGGATGGTCTGTAAGAAAGTGCTAAAATTTCTAGTTTGGTCCCTGAAATGGGTGGCATAGGTTTGAATGCAAAAGTACATTACCTTGGAGTCTTAACTTTTATACTTACTCAGATGTATCTCTATTTTGCTTAGGAAAGGTGCTTTTTTCCTTGACTCTTTAACCACCACTTGCAATTTTTCGTTCATTTTTGTGTCACTAGGATGAAATATTTTGACGGGTTTAGGAGTTTTGCATCAATTTAAATGTCAAGATGAAAATGATCCATTAATGGAAAATAAATGTCATGTTGATTTTTTTTAAAAAAAGATTTTTATTGGAGAATTAGGGGGATGGGAACAGTGTTGGGGAATTGGGGGAAGGGGAACAGGCAAGTTGCTGTTGTTTTGTTTTTCAGTCTAGTTGTGGAGGACGTTGCTTCACTGGCCCAAGTTGGCACCATCATTGCGCTCTTCCCGGGTGAGGCAGATCAGTCGCCGGCTTCTGGACGGCCGCTCACTGTGGCTGCTGGCTACATACGGTAGCCCATGACAACCCACTGCCACAGGGGCTGCAGCCTACGCCGTCGCCGGCAACTCAAGGCAGCCCGGCTCCAGGTTGAGCTGTTGTTCAGCATCTTAGCTGTGGAGGGCAGTGTCACTGGCCCTCATATGTGGGATCCGAACCGGGGCCCTCTGGCGTCCCAAGCCAGGTCTTAACCATTGCGCCACTCGGCCGGCCCTCATGCTGATTTTTAAGCTGAAGCTTTTCCATTCACAACATTTGTTTCTAGAGAAATTATTTATAACATTTTTGAATTAAGCGTAAGTCACAGAAAAGCCTTTGCATTGTAGTATAATAGCATTTTGAAAATCTTTATCCTAAGTAATCAACAGTTGTGCTTAGGCAGAAATAGGAGAAATATATGCTTTTCATAATGTGTAGAGCAGTCCATCAGTATAACACAATGTTTGGGGCTATGCGCTCTGGATTCTTACTCTCAGGGCTGGAATCTCCACCAGAACTGTCATCTTACGTAAGCTATGGGGGTTTTGATTTCTTCCTCTGTAAAATGGGCATGATAGTAATTCCTTATAAGTAATTCCTTAGGTCAGTGCTTGGCCTATAATAAGTGCTCAATTATTGTTAGTTGTCAATATTGTTATTAATATAGTTACTGTTTTTGTTATTAGATGGGTTTGTATCATTGATTTTTTTTTTCTTGGACTATGACTCAACTTCACATTAGTGTTTTAATATAATTGACTAAACAGTGATGGTTAATAGTTTATATATATATATATACTTTTTCCATACAGATTGAATGTAATTTTTACAAAATTTGATGAAGTCCAGAAATCTGGAAACATGATACAATCTGCAAATGGTGAGTAGAAAAAGCAATCATTCTAAATTTACTTTTTCAATTTTATGTCAGTAATGCTTATGCTCTTTCTCAACAGCTGAATTTGATGCCTTGATAAGGGTTTGTAGGTCTTAAGACTTAACCTCCATTTCCCCACATTCCCAAGCCAGAAACTATGGCGTTGTCATTGACTTTCTTTCCTAACCGACACTGAGTCCTTCAGCTGATCCTGTTGGCTGTACTTTTAAAAATATACCTCAAGTCCCAGTGATTCTCACTGTAACTGCTACTCTCCTAGTGCAAGCCGTCACTGTATTTTACCTGTGCTCTCATGGTAGCCTCCTAACCCACATTCTTTTATGCTCTCCCAACACGTACATTCTGTTTTCCACACAGCAGTCAGAGTAATTATTTTAGATGTAACTAAGTAACGTGGATTCCCTGTTCACAGCCCTCCGGAGGTTTCCCATCACACAGACTATAAGGCAGTGGCTTCACATGGCCCACTAGGCCCGCGCGGTCTCATGCTGGCCACCAGCTACTGACATCTTGGATTGTTCTAACCCAGAGCTCTCTCGGCTCCAGTTCCACTGGCCTCCTTGCTAATTTTGAACGTTCTAAGCTTCTCCTGCATCAGGGCCCCTGTGTTTAGGAGTCCCTCTGTTTCAAACAGTCGTCCTCTCCGTGTCATCGTGGCTGTCTTCCTCATTTCATCCAGCTCTCGGCTGCAGTATAACTTCATTACAAAGGCCACCCAGAGCAGCACAGCCAGTTTTCTAAGGGAGCTCTCTGTGCCCTCATCCTGCTGGAGTTAACCTTCTTAGTGCATGGCACTACAGAATATTTTTTTGTTTACTCATGAGGGCGGGAGCTTTGTTTTATTCCCATCTTTATTCTTAGCGCCTCAGTAAGTCCCTGGCATGTCGTAGGTATGCAGTAAATATTGTTGACTAAATAAAGTAATACCTGAGACTTAAATTGCGACCTCTTGTTTCCAGTACCTATATTCCTCTTATTATACTTTGTGATGTTTGAGGACAAGTGGGTAATTCTTGTGATTCCAGAAGGGCAAGAAAAGACAGGAGTGAATTACTGTATGATTGAAGTCATCAAAAAGACAGTTGCCAGCAAGAACTTTCTCTAATTCTGGATACTTCATTGCATTATAGTTATTTCAGAATTGCTAAAGGTCTTAAATCATAGCATAGCTTACACATTTTGAGAATACTGAGGTTGCAAAAAGGTTTGAGTGATTTCCCCCAAAGTGACATAGTATGTAAGGGCGGAGCGGGACGAGAAGCCAGGTCGTTTCACTTCCCAAGTCTGCTCTGGACCTACCATTATCAGTAAGGAATTTGTCTTCAGATAGCATGTTTGTTCTAAAATGCTTGAAGTGTTCTAAAAATGCTTTCATTAACTCCCTTCATTTCTTTTTCATGTATTTATATGTTTATAAAAACTATTAAAATAAGAAAAGAATATTTACCATAATTCAGCTATCGTCAACTACTCAGTTTTCATTTTTGCATATCCTTTTATAATCCATTTTCCTGTAATTTTTGGATTTGTATGTTATTTTAACCATGGTATAGTTTCTGTGCATTACTCCCTGCTTTTGTATTTGCTTTTATATGTGCTGAAAAATGTATTATTGGTAGAGCTGGGACCAGAACTCGTGCCTTGGAGCCGTGTTCCCGTGCTGAGTGGGCTTAATGTGTGTGTGGGCATGGCTGCCCAGTCAGTTGCCAGGCACGTGCTCTGAATCTTGAGGGTGTGTATTTGTATAGTTTCTGTAGTTTTCCAGTTCAAATCTTGTTGGCATCACGATAGAAAGTACTGGGCAAGGATGTATACGTGGTGGCAGAAATGAGTTTGTGCTTCCTAGCCTATGTTACAACGAAAACATCATCTCATTAGAACGTGACAATGGAAGAAGGACCACACCTGTGCTGGAAACCTTGCCTAGAAGAGTGTATGTATACAGAGGGTGCCAAAAAAATGTATACACGTTTTAAGAAAGGAAGAAAACTGTGTTAAAAATTTAATACAATGAATGACGCTAACATTCATTTGATTAACGCCAACTTTTGAGCAAGTGTCATACTACACATTGCTACCGTAATTCAACTTCGAAAATCAATACATAGATAACATCTGTTAAAATGTGTACATTTCTTTGGCACCCCCGGTATATCTGTGAGCTTTAATGAACATGATTCATGATTTAATCATCAAGAATACCAAAATCCTGTGGCATTGGGTATATCCTAGCAAGATTTTATTCTAAATGTCCAGGTGTAAATATTGTTCCCAGCTTTTCTTATTTTTGTGGGGTGTGTGTATGAATACTTGTATGTGGTATAGGGTCAGATTTGAGAATGAAAACAGTTCTCTTTTAGGCATTTATGTTAAAAATAACAGATGGTCAGGAAGGCTTAACTCAAAACTTACTGGAGGCTTATAATTTTAGTTTTTTTACTTTATACATGTAGTATTAGTATTTTAATTATTAGAGCCAAAATAGAATAACGTAAAGGCATATGTATAAAGATGGCAGAGTTCCTAACCCAAGTTAATTTGGTCTCTTTACAGTAACTTTGAGAGACCAGTAAGATGTTCATTAGCTGTCAGAAAACTAAACAACCATCTTACTCCCTTCTTTGCTAGAGCCATTGAACATTTAGACAGTGTGGAGTAGCAATGTATAAATGCCATCCCCCTCTTCTGATTTTTGTTTTTTGCCCAATGACTCCCCGTGTAACCATTTTTTAAACTCTTCTGGACTTCAGACCACTGACTACTTTTTCTCAACCCATCCTCCCTCTGCTTTGTCCATTTTGCTCCTTATACAGCTTAGCTTGCAGCCTTTCTGAACTTTCTTATTCTAGTTTTTGTAGATTCTATGTAGAGATTTTCTGCATAGACAGTCATATCATCTGCAAAAATGAACAGTTTTATCTCTTTCTGATCTGAATACTTTTTCTACTTTTTTCTTTTTCTTGCTCTATTGCGCTGTCTAGAACTTCCACCACTGTGTAAAATAAGAGTGCTGAGTGGACATTCTTGCTTGGTTCCCCATCTTAGGTATTTCACAACTAAGCATAATGCTAACTGTAGGTTTTTTGTAGATGTTCTTCAGCAGGATGAGGTAGCACTCATCTACTCCTTTTTATCTGAGTTTTTATCACACATGAGTGTTGGATTTTATTTTTGGAATTAATCAGCATATTTTAAGTATTGAGATAAACTTCATACCAAAAATTCACTTTTTAAAAATATAATATATAATCTAGTGTTTTTTTGTATAGTCACAGAATTGTGCAATTATCACCACTGTCTTATTCCAGATGATGTTCATCACCCCCAAGGAAAACTATGCTAGCTTCACTCCCTGTTTCCTCCTCTTCCCAATCCCTGGCAACCTACTTTCTGTCTCTATGGATTTGCCTATTTTGGATATTTTATAGAAATGGAATTATACAATATATGGCTTTTGGTGTATGGTTTCTTTCACTTAGCATGCTGTTTTCAAGGTTCATCCACGTGGTAGCATATCTCAGTACTTCATTCCTTTTCCTGGTATTATTGTATGGGTGTATATCACATTTTGTTTATCCATTCATCCATTGATGAACATTTGAATTGTTTCTACCTCTTGGGTATTGTGAATAGTGCTGCTTTGAACACTTGTTTACAAGTTTTTATTTGGACACCTGTTTTCATTTTTTTCGAGTATATACCTAGAAGTAGAATTGCTGGGTCATAAGGTAATTCTATGTTTGACTTACTGAGGAACTGTCAGTTTTCCACAGTGGCTTCCCATTTTATATTCCCATTAGCCATGAGTAAGGGTTCCAAATTCTCTACATCTTCTCCAACAAAAAACAGACGAAACCAATTTTCTTTAAAAAAGAAAAATTATAGTCATCTTAGTCACTGTATGAAGTGGTATCTCATTGTGGCTTTGATTTGCGTTTTCCTGATAAATAATGTTGAGCTTGCTTTCTTGTGTCTGTTGGCCATCTGTAGATCTTCTTTGGGAATATATCTCTATTCAAGTACTTTGGCCCATTTTTAAGTTGGTTTATTTGTCTTTTTGTTGTTGAGCTATAAGACTTCTTTATATATTCTGGATACAAGACTCGTAAGTATATGATTAGCAAATATCTTTTCTCATCCTGTGGGTTGTCTTTTTGCTTGCTTGGTGTTTAAAAGTTTTTAATTTTGGTGAAGTTTAACCCTCCGTTGGGTGCAACTGGTCTCACAGATTCATTGCACACAAAGATGCCACTCTGTGAAATACATCTTTATTGTACTAAGTCACAAACACGACTGGCGATAGGTTACAGTAGAGGGGGAAGATACGGAAGCGATGAGTCATGATACTTAAGTTAACTGATATTTGAAAATTTGTGTGTAATGAATCTGTGAGATCAGTTGTGCCCGATGGAGGGTTAATTTATCTTTTTTTTTTTGCTATTTGTGAACAATAATGCTCTTTTGAGTAAGAAATAAAAGCTCTAGATTTGAGCTAAGTTGAAAGAAACTAGTAATGTAATAGTGATACTCTTAGGGAAGAAATAGATTTCATCCTAGATTGTATTTCTTGACATATTCAAAGTTATGTTCTAAGATATGTAATTGATTACATTTAAGTAAAACCCAGGGACTTAATTTTTTTAAAGTGTAAGAATTATGACTAAATCAGCAATGAAAAAGCAGCTGAGTAGTAATTAGAAATGAGTGTCCTGTCTCTATTAGAATACTTCATATTTGTGTGGTTCTTTTTAGTTGCTAGGTTACCAAAAAGACTTTCAGCTTTGAATGGCAAGAATATGGGAGTTAGAAATATGTTGTTTTATAGCTGTTTCTTTTTCTGTATTTCTGTCTCCATATAATTAGCAAGCCCCTTGAAGCAAAAATTATAGTTTTTCTTTCCATGGGTTTCAAAAAGCAAATTACGTTCTATGTAAGTTTTTTTTAATCATGCAAATGTATTTATACTTATGCTCATGGGAGAA